TGAGACATAATATATGTGCATACTTGTTTTTAAAAAAAAGTGATTTAGGAGGATTTTATTGAATAAAATTAAAATGGAGTTTTTTCTATTTTAATCTAGTTTTTATTTTTTATTTGATAAACAATTATTTGCAATATATCTTCTCGAATCGTCAAACTATTGTTTATTTCTCTTTCTCTCTTTTTTGGAAGGGAAAATCGAGAGGTGACAATAGGAATCCGGGAATTCAACAATCTCTCGCACGGAGAGAATTTTTTAAATAAACTCGATAGGTCAATTCTCAATTCCTGTCGCAAACACGAATGACTCGTTCTATTTTTTACGGTCATGTTTTACCATAGCAATCGGACGATTGTTTTGTTGCAGTTCACGATATTTCCCGCGAGCGTGATTTTCATGTGTTAAAAATTGATCAAAGCCAAATTCCAAATATAGGACACATTCTCGTGCAAAAACGAGGACGTACGCGTGATGGAATGTACGGAATGGAGAATTGGCTTTGGCCATAGCACATCTATCGACTATCACGTAACACAAGGAGATTTGTCAAGATTGGCTCGATGTTGCGCTCACGTAACTGATGCATTCATGGTACATTGCTGCATCGAGCGGACTGCAGTTGTACATTGCGATCACTCACAGTATTTTTCTTTGAGAGAAACGATCGACTTTCGAAGATAGAGACATAGTTTTGCTTTTCCTGAAAAATAATCGATAGTTCCTTGTCGTTCAAAAATAATGACGAAAGTATGCGATTTCATGAATTTGATCAAACTTTTGTAACACAAATCAAATGCAATAATTTATGTTACCTCAGAAGCTTTTAATACAATATCACGGTCTATGCGTTAGTTAACGGAGTATAGAAAACCGCACCGTATAACCGGCGTCATAGCAGTTATAACCGATTACAGTTCATGCCGCGCGAAGAATATGGGAGAGATATATATCAGTGGCGTGAAACAATTTCGATATTTGTGGTATGCAACGGCGATGCGGTTTACGGGCGCAATTCGGGACGCCGACGTATGCATTCCAGCTTTGTATTTCCGCCTCTTTTGTAGTTTCTCTCCGTCTGGTCTATATATTCTAGCATAGCTATATATAACGCTATATATAACAAAATCTGAAGAAAATAGCATTATTAAACCGCAATACTAAATATATTATTAACTTATTGTAAATTTATTTTAAATAATTTCTGTATATATATAGTATTGATAAAATTATTTGAACGAACGCTCTATGTAACATGTTAATTAATAAAATCTTTAGAGATAATTTTATTTGTTACTAATGCCGGTAAACAGATACTCTTTTTATAATTTTATAATTGCTAGAGATTTTTGCTTTTCTCTTACGCTTTTTCTTAGATTTTATAAGCCACAATTATTTTGTTTTCTTTAAAAAAGTTTACAAGCTTAAAAAGTTTACAAGCTTAAGATTAACTTTGTTGCCATCGAGATTAGCGACTACTTTGTAATTTACAATGCATTCAGAATTTTTAAATATTTAGATAAAATACTTAGATATAGATAAAATTTAAAACTTTTGTAAATTTCTAACGTTTTTTTAAATTCAAAATAAATATTTATTACTATCCATCTACTTCCTCTTCTCTGATTGATAATTCTATAGATAAATACTGTTGGTATTGTTGGTTGTGATAATCTTGCTCATTTGAATAATATTTTGGAATAAAAACTTTTGCAGCGAGTGATCAATTTTTGCATAACAAGGGATCGATTTTTAATCAAGCAATTTTGATCAGAATTGGCAAGCTGAATCTAGATGTAAATCAAAAACAATAAATCTATCTATCATCGACCGTTCCATGCTAATTCTCTATATGAATACGCGGCGTAACAATCGTTATCACGTGTTATATTCGCGCGATTAAACATCCTCATGAAACTGAATTTTGAAATTATTGGATCATAATTATGCTTATTTATAATTCATAATTCACGCATTTTCGAGTTACTGCACACATTATATGCATCAAATTCCTACAGTTTTATATCTTCAAAATTCACCAATTT